TGGCCAGCCACAGCAGAAAGACTTTGGCCACAGCCAATATGGGGGAGAGCACTTCTGTGCTTTCTATGAAGGGAAGACTGTGGAGCTGTGGCTGGCTGAGAAGAGTTTAAAAAGACATTAAAAGTTTTTTTTTTTTAAATATTTACTGTACTATTATCCAAGCACCTTATATGTTTCATCTGTTCACTGCACCTTATATTTTTTATTTTTAGTTTGCACTGCAATTATACTGGTTATTTATCCATTTTTTATATTGCATTCTATGTTGATTTTTTTGATATGTCTGTGTGTTGTTACTGTGTGTAATGCTGCTGCTACATTGCACTTTCCCAGCTTATCTATTATACATTTTGACCATTCCTAATAAATATTGAATTGATTAAAACCTTGTCATGTCTATTTAAGTACTTTTTAACTTGACTTTTTAAACCTGGAGCCATTCAGGAGGCCAAAACGATACAAATATTAATGCACATTTAACAAAACAGGTCTCCTTGCTTTAAATGCGTGCAGGTGCCTTTAATTCGCCATATGATAAGTAACCATGTGCTCGGGATGACGTCGAACAACAGCTGAGAAAAGAAGCTTTTTCATTTAAGCTGCCATTGTCTTCCAGAAGCACCTATCTGCCAGTTTCCACCTCAGGAAGCTTCACAGCGGTGACTAGTACATTATAGAGTGGTTTGGTGTGGCTCTCTCACTTAGTTTGGCTGTAATGCACAAAACTATTAAAAGTGACTTTTTTGCGTTCCCCATGTAATTCTGGCTTTTTCCTGTTTCACATGCAATTCTGTGGGACTTTGGTGTTTTTCCACCTAAGTGTGCTGAATGAGCTTCTCAGGCTGAGAAAACAAGCTTTTTCACACAAGCTGCCATTCTCTTCTGGAAGCACCTATCTGCCAGTTTCCACCTTAGGAAGCTTCACAGCGGTGACTTGTACATTATAGAGTGGTTTTCTGTGTTCCAAATGCAGTTACGCTTTTTCGACAAAAGAGGGCACACTTGACCACAGAATAATTCATTCTGGACTTGCAAAGCTTCACAGTGGCATAATTAAAGTGATGCATAAGTGGTTTGGTGTGGCTCTCTCACTTAGTTCAGCTGTAATGGACAAAACTATTAAAAGTGACTTTTTTGCGTTTCCCATGTAATTCTTGCTTTTTCCTGTTTCACATGCAATTCTGTGGGACTTTGGTGTTTTTCCACATGAGTGTGCCAGGCTGAAAAAACAAGCTTTTTCACACAAGCTGCCATTCTCTTCCAGAAGCACCTATCTGCCAGTTTCCACCTCAGGAAGCTTCACAGCGGTGACTTTTACATTATAGAGTGGTTTGGTGTGGCTCTCTCACTTAGTTTGGCTCTAATGGACAAAACTATTAAAAGTGACTTTTTTGCGTTTCCCATGTAATTCTGGCTTTTTCCTGTTTCAAGTGCAATTCTGTGGGACTTTGGTGTTTTTCCACCTAAGTGTGCCAGGCTGAGAAACCAAGCTTTTTCACACAAGCTGCCATTCTCTTCCAGAAGCACCTATCTGCCAGTTTCCACCTCAGGAAGCTTCACAGCGGTGAATTGTACATTATAGAGTGGTTTTCTGTCTTCCAAATGCAGTTACGCTTTTTCGACAAAAGAGGGCACACTTGACCACAGAATAATTCATTCTGGACTTGCAAAGCTTCACAGTGGCATAATTAAAGTGATGCATAAGTGGTTTGATGTGGCTCTCTCACTTAGTTTGGCTGTAATGAACAAAAATATTAAAATTGACTTTTTTGCTTTTCCCATGTAATTCTGGCTTTTTCCTTTTTCACATGCAATTCTGTGGGACTTTGGTGTTTTTCCAACTAAGTGTGCTGAATGAGCTTCTCAGGCTGAGAAAACAAGCTTTTTCACACAAGCTGCCATTCTCTTCCAGAAGCACCTATCTGCCAGTTTCCACCTCAGGAAGCTTCACAGCGGTGAATTGTACATTATAGAGTGGTTTTCTGTCTTCCAAATGCAGTTACGCTTTTTCGACAAAAGAGGGCACACTTGACCACAGAATAATTCATTCTGGACTTGCAAAGCTTCACAGTGGCATAATTAAAGTGATGCATAAGTGGTTTGGTGTGGCTCTCTCACTTAGTTTGGCTGTAATGAACAAAAATATTAAAATTGACTTTTTTGCTTTTCCCATGTAATTCTGGCTTTTTCCTTTTTCACATGCAATTCTGTGGGACTTTGGTGTTTTTCCAACTAAGTGTGCTGAATGAGCTTCTCAGGCTGAGAAAACAAGCTTTTTCACACAAGCTGCCATTCTCTTCTGGAAGCACCTATCTGCCAGTTTCGACCTCAGGAAGCTTCACAGCGGCGACTTGTACATTATAGAGTGGTTTGGTGTGGCTCTCTCACTTAGTTTGGCTGTAATGGACAAAACTATTAAAAGTGACTTTTTAGCGTTTCCCATGTAATTCTGGCTTTTTCCTGTTTCACATGCAATCGAGCCCCGGACTGATTTCGCACTCTTGCTGGGGCAGGTGTATATAGTTGTTTGCAGTGTTGTGTGTGTGTGTTTTTTTTTAAAAGACATTGACTTTCCCCTCCACAAGGACCGGGACTTTGCCGCAGTGTGGAGGCTTTCTACCAACACCGGTCCACCCACCCTGCCACAACTCTTCTACAGCACAGTGACACTCTGCTTGGAAAAAAATGTGTGTCCCATTCACACCTGTATAACACGCTGTCATGCCTCTGTGCTGTTCTGATTCTATGCACTGACAAGTCTTATAGGCCTGCTGTGTGTCTGCTGCCTGTCATATGGTTTAAGGGGGGGAAATCATTGTGTGTCCCATTCACACCTGTATAACACGCTGTCATGCCTCTGTGCTGTTCTGATTCTATGCACTGACAAGTTTTTTTATTTTTTATATTTTGGACATGTGGGTATGTTCATTAATGTGATCACTGTTACATCAGTTACATCCAGTAGCTGCGACGCAAGATATCGGACTGCCATTTGTGCTGGTTCATCTGCTGTTGCCACTGGCTCTGTTGCTGCCAAAAAAATAAAAAGCCTTGTATGTACAGGTACTTCACACTGTAATGCCCCTGTGTTATGTATCCATGCATATCTGTGCTGAGCTCTTATACTATGTGTCTGCCTGCTGTGATTGCCTTGTGCCACTGCTCTGTTCTGCATCACCATTTTATTATTATTATTATTATTATTATTATTATTGGATTGTAGTTTAAATAATCTATTTTGCTCTGTACTTCTGCTGTGTTTGATGTTGTTGTTGTGAAGATGCAGAACACAACAACAATATATTTAATTGATATTTATTTCACTGAAGAAAAAGGGGAAACAAATCATACACAGCATGTAACTTTAATTTATACATAAATAATTTATTTACCCTTTTTTACTGAGAATTGTATTTTATTTGTAAAGCCCTTTCCACACTGATATGCTGCACTGTCCTGTATCCTGGACATCTGACTTCATATTTCAAATAAATTGTCATCATTTTATACTGGTATCATTGTTCTCTTGTCCTATATCAAATTTAAAGCAATAAACACTGATGATACATATTCTCAATAAACACTGATGATACATATTCTCAATAAAATGAAGACACAGGAGATAAACCGTACTGTAAATGAAAAATCCATTTATTATTGCATTGCCTGGCCTTGGAAATATGCAAATTCATTATCATTTATAGACTCTATACAACGGTTCCAAGCATGTTTTAATCATTTTTTTATATTTAGAGAAGACATTTCGACGCTATGCACGCGTTTCGCAGTTTGCCTCCGTCGGGATTCGAACCGGCGAGCGGGAGTGCCGTTCCGCACGTCGACCGCGCGTCTTTTGCGCTCTAGTGCGCATGCGCGGGTGCCGACCAAAACAGAGAAGAACGCTGGGGGAGCGCCTCTGCTCTGGGACAGCCTTCGTCTCTGTACCTGTGTTCCACATAAATGTCCCCACCTACCGATTTCAGAGGCTATCATTGGCTCATGCTCAAATGGAACAGGCCAATGGGTGAAGGCCAGGTCAACCCCATTGGTCTGTTCCATTTGGGTGCTGTGCTGTGATTCGACAGCTCGCCGCATGTCCCGCCCACCCCCAAAGCCACAGCCACGGTCAGTGTCATTCATTCATTCGGACTGAGCGGCGTTTGAGTGAGCGGACGGACGGACATTCACACAATATTATAAGGTTAGACAAACTTTATTGTTTGTAAAATTATGTGCTACATTGAAAAGGCAGCTTATATATTATACAGTAATCAGTTAGCAGTGAAACAGCGAGCCAATGTAACGTTAGCGTAAGTTAGGACTGCCGCCGATGTCATTACCGATCGGTGAAATGTGTTTAAAATAATATTCCCATACTGGGTTTACTTGTTGAGACCTAGGATATTGTACTGCTATTGTGTGGAGTTGATATTTAAAGTTTAACTGTGCTTTAGATGCGTTAGCATATAAATCGCTATTAGCATGCTAAGCGTTGGAAATGAATGAGCATTTAGCCACTGCTGTGATGAGCTGACGATCTCTGGAAACGCTTTAAAAACGTGATGAGACAACTTGGCTCACTTCTTAAGACCCTTGGTATGCTGGTACAACGAGGTGGAGTCAAAATTTGAAGTGTAAATATGCTTTAAATGTGTAAACAGACCAGCCGTGATTTTGCTAGCTAAAAACAAGGAGGTGAATGAGGTCATTTTAGTTACTACTTTTCTGAGGGCTGGCGATCTCTCACAATGTATTTAATCTTTAAACAGACTACCTGATTATCTTCCTTAGACCCTGTAGATGTAGTTACTACAGTTTGAAGTCAAAATTCAAAGTGTAAATATGGTTTAAATGTGTAAACAGGACGCCTGATGTTGAATGTATGTTAATGAATGGGCACAGTATCATTGAGTACAGTAATAGACTGTCAGTAGGATGTAAACAGTGCATGTGTAGCAGATTACTGACTTAAATCTTATTTCTTGTCTTTCTAGAAAATGCAGCCTATTTTCCGCTTTGAGGCAAACCTTGACCTGACCCTGCGGGCCTCTCAGGAGGCGCTGGCCTTGAGCCGCCGCCAGAGGGGGGCCTCTGCCTCTGCCACTGCCCTGGTGGTGGTTAAGACCCCTGAGCTGGTGCGCTCTGAGGCAAGAGACAGGGTGGTGCAGAAGGGAGGTAACCCCACCGATCACCATCAGGTGCTGGCGCGCTGGTCGGCCAGTACCGTGGTGACGTCCGTGGCTGCTGGAGAATGACGTGGGAGCAGACCATCTGTGTGTCCGAGGGAGGAGAAGGGGGACTGGACTGCCCACCAGGCTGTTCCCGCCGATGGTGGCAGCCATCGACAGGCGTAGGATGCTCGAGGGCAGTCCCCAGACCATGAGGGGCGTGGACGACACGCTGGTGGGGTTCGGTGTTCATAGTGACCTGACCTACAAGACCCTGTACGAGTCGACGGACCGTGAGCGGGCAAGGTAAGTTGTTTGTTTGTTGTGTTGTGTGTGTGTGTGTGTGTGTGTGTGTGTGTGTGTGTGTCTGTGTGTGTATCTGTGTGTGTCTGTGTGTGTATCTGTGTCTGTGTGTGTATGTCTGTGTGTGTGCGTGACTTTTTTACCCATTGCATTTCTGTTCTCTTTTTTAGCTATGTACAGTTTGTGAGGCAGGCGGCACCCACAGCCAAAGCGTCCAGGTTGGTGGACTTAAAAAAATATGTGCAGGCCCGGGATGCAGAGAAGGCAGCCCTGGCAGCACAACCACCACAACCACCCCTGGACGCTGTTGGTCCCCAGGATGGACCCTCGGATGCTGACCTGCTCGCTGCCGCCATGGGGTCGACCCGGGCCCATAGCCGTGCCCCCCTTCTCTCTCTCCCAGCCACCGGAACGTCCCCTTCAGGACAACACCTGTGGGGAGAGGTCAGGCCCCGGCGCACAGGTATGCTCAGTGATGACATATTGTGTTGTAGTGTGTGTGTGTCTGTGTTCAGTACACTAACGGTCTGACACTGCTGTGTGTTTCAGCTGCTACCACGTGGCTGGAGGCTGACGCTCCCCGAAGAGCAGCACGACTGGGTGGGCCGGGCACTGTTCAGGAGGGCACCCAACGGGCAGGGTGTCCTCACATCTGAACTCCGCCTGTGGTGGCACCCACCAGGTGCCCGGCCCCTCTACACCCAGCCACCCGCCACAGCCCACCCCTTTTTCCAGAGTCCCTTTTTCCTGTGGGTGCCCTACAGGATGTGGGCGTACCACCTCCGCTGCCCCATCGTCGCCTGTGGGGGCAAGCTTGCGGGAGCTGGCCTCTACAAGACGGTGAGGAGGGTCTTGGACAGGAGCTGCTGGTACTTCATGGGCACGGAGTACCTGGAATGCAGCTCCTGTCACAAGAAGATGCCGGGATGGTCGCAGGACATCTTGGGACAGCTGGACATGGCCCATCGTGAGCAGTTTCCAGCAGTTCTCACGTACAAGTAAGTAATGTAAACAGTAACAGCAACAGTAATGTATTTCTGTGGTTTTCTCCAGTAACCTCTGATCACCTCTTTCCCCTCCCAGGTTGTCCTGCGACAGAGCTGTGATCGGGCTCATGAAGGAGCGCACTTTGGGCAACAGTGCGTCTCGCCTCCGTGCCTCTCTGGTGGAGCAGCACACCAGAGAGTGGATGGCGCGGTCGATGCTGTACCTTTCCGTGCTCCGCAAGCTTCGGGTACCGGGCGCTGCGCCGCTGGCGGCGTCGTCGCTCCCAACCATGCACCCGGTGCCCACAGTGCTCTGGCTCATCAACGTCTACGTCAGGGACGCCTTGACGAGGCTCGACGAGACGAGAGCCAGAGTCACTTCCGTCTTTGGTGATCTTTTGAAGATGGACTCCACCAAGAAGGTAGGTTTTGTTATCCACCACAGCGTGCCGTGTACCCAGTGTAATGTTTGTTTTGTCATGTGTCTGAATGTTGTTGTGTTGCTGTGTCACACAGATCACCAAAAAGCTTGCGGGCGGTGCTGCCGGGACGGCCGCCTGGGTCACCAACGTCGGCAATGAGTACGGGCAGGTGCTCATGTCCGTCCTCACCGCAGCTGAGGGGGGCGGACTTGTCGACATGGCATGGTACCGCGAAGCCGGGAAGGCCCCTCCAAGGGTCCTGTACGTGGACCGGGACTGCTGTGCCACCGTGGGACAGTGTCAAACGTCCAAGCTGTTCCACGAGTGGCACGAGCTGGTCGTCAGGCTCGACGTGTGGCACCTCATGCGGCGTTTCGCCAGAGGGGGTGACCACCGACAGCCACCAGCTCTACGGCCTCTTCATGGCGAGGCTCTCCTTCGCCATTTTTGAGTGGGACGCCGAAGACGTGTCCCGCCTGAGAGGAGCCAAGCAGTCCGAGGAGGGGAGGGACACCCAGGAGGTCAAGCTGTCCGCCAAGGAGCTCGCCCGTCACTGCCGGCGCCGCACCAGGGGTGCAGTGGAGACGGAGCGGCTGGTCCAAGAGGTGCTGGACACCTTCTGGCACGTGACGGACAGCATGGGCGTCCCTTTGATCGACCGCGCCCGAATGGAGGAGATCTGGAGCACGCAGCGCCGACACCTCGACTGCATCCAGGCCCCTGCGGGAGTGGACCTCTACACCAAGACGGGAGAGCTCACCAAAGGCGGGGTGAGGCTCCCCGTCTACCGGTGCGGCCGAGGCTCCACTTCCCTGGAATCGTTCCACCTGCACCTGTGCCGCTTCATCCCAGGTAAGTACATGTGTGGTTTACAACACAGACTCAATTATGTATTTGTGTGTTTATTTGTCCTCACACTAACTGTGTTGCTTTGTTTCTGCTTAGGACAATCTGCAAGTGATGTACACTTCCAGGTGTACCTGCTGGAGGGCCTGGTGCGGTGGAACGAGAATCGAGGGAGGACAGAGGTCGGCGCTGCGTTGCTACAGTGCCCAGCTGCAGCACAGCTTCGACCAGCTGACCCAAGAGCTTCTTGGGCTCACGCTGGTCGACACGTACACCATGCCCAGGGAGTACACAGGTAAGTCATAAATCTGTCTGAGGTAACGGTAACGTTTAACACCTGTCTTAGGTGTCTGTCATTTAACATCTGTGTCTCTGTGTGCCCACAGGGGAACTCATTGGGGTGGAGTACCTGTTCTCCCAGACGGGCGCTGTGCTGCAGAAGGACCTGGATGATCCTGACGCTCCAGGAGGGACTGATGAGGACGAAGCCGGGGGGGGGTGGGGGGCAGTGATGAAGAGTTCGAGGAGGAGGAACCAGAGGAGATTCGTCTCCTCGAACACCACAGCGCTCTCCTTCAGTCCTCAAACCTCACCCGCGTGGACCAAATGGAGGTGCAGCAGGCTGAGGAGGAGGAGGAGGAGGAGGAGGAGGAGGAGGAGGATGTTATCGGGCCAGGTGGAGGCAGCTACCAGCACGTCGTGGCCCTGGCCCAGGCCCTCGTGGAACTGCGCCACCGCCGCTACGTCACTCCCAGGCAAGCCAGAGAGATCACCGCTCTCTGGCTGAAGTTGAGTGATTGGGACAAGGCAGCGGTCAAATTCCCCCCCCCCGTCACCAGGGCCGGCTTGTCCAAGGCCGATTCCGGACCACCCAGCGGCACGCTCACATGCCAGGGGTGTGGATAGTGTGAAGCGGTAAGCAGTCACAATAAATTTCCAAGCTTTTTTTGGTTCTTGTCCTGTCCTGTCAGTCACTAATTAACTCACTGACTCACTCTCTCTCTCTCTCTCTCTCTCTCTCCTCTCTCTCTCTCTGTCTATGTAGTGCGGTCCTGGGCAAGGGGGCGGGAGCGGCGCAGTCTCCCGATGTGTCGAGGCTTGTGGAGGCTGTCCTGCTGGACCTCAGCATCCTCCACTGCAGCGAGGGCAGGAAGATTGCCGGGGTCTGGATTCCTCGCTGGGGTGCCGTCATGAGGGACTATCTAACAATTCGCGAGAATGTTTATAGTTGTGCAGCCCTCATGACGAGCACCCGCATCCAGCTATATGATGTCAATCGGCGGACCCTGACGCAATGGTAAGACCTGATCCTTTCTCTCACATCTGATTTGAAGTGGCACTGTGTGAGTGTGTGTGTGTGATGTCATGATTACTAATGTGCATTTGTTACATTCTGTTTTTTAAGGCACAACCAGAGGAGCAAGGCCATGATGAGGGACACCATCGCCATTGCAGTCCTGGGGCCCAGCACTCCCCAGACTGCAGCGGAGCCCCTGCCTGCCCCACCGACTGTGCTGCAGCAGCCTGAGCAGCCAGACCAGCCCCTCCAGCACCGCCTGCCCACGGACGCTTCTGGTCCTGGACCTCATCGTCGCCAGCTCCTCCACTGCCTCCTCCTCCTCCTCATCAGCCACCCCACAAGCCTCCAGCGCGGACGCCGTCCTGTCCACCAGCGTCAGCGCGGAGGCCGGTGACATCCCCCTCCACAGCCACAGCTGCCACTGCTCCACCAGTGCCAAGGAACACCGCCTGGAGGCGCAAGCTCCAGGAGGAGAAAGAGCGTTGTGCCGGGAGCTGGGAGAACACTTAAAACCAGCAAAGAAGGTCTCCCACTTTAACTGCAGGCGCAGTGGCCAACCGAAGACGCGGGCGTTTGGCCACAGCCGCTACAAGAAGGAGACCTTCTGCTCCCGGGCCGAGGGGAAAGGGAGAACTGTGGAGCAGTGGCTGGCAGAGGTGAAGGGGCGTGATGGAGCAGCCCCCCCTGCCTGAGCGAACACTTCACTTTGTGTGTGTGTGTGTGTGAGTGAGTGATGGGGCGGCTCCCCCTCTCTGAACGAACGCTTTGTGTGTGTGTGTGTGTGTGTGTGTGTGTGTGTGTGTGTGTTTGGGAGGGAGGGATTTGTAAATATTGTGTATATAGTGTATTTAGTTTGTCAATTATGTTTGCTAAATAAATATTGTGTATATAGTTGTCTTATATAAGATATTCCTTTATTTGTCCCACAATGGGGAAATTCCAATATATATCTATATAGTTGTATATTGCTGTCTTAATTGTTTTTGTTTTAAATAAACTTTTCTTTTTTAAACCAATGCTTTCTCCTGCTTCTTTCGGTCTTTAAGAAATTAAATAAATATAGGGAAGACTAGGTATCTAGACTAGGTGCCTGATATCACTAAATTCCCACAGGTAACAGTCACACAATACATCATTCCCTCTCCTCACTTAAAACTAGGGTCAAGGGGTCAACCCAGGGTCAGGTTCAAAGGTTTACCTAGAGACTAGGTGAGAATGGGCCTCAAATGGACACTGTAAAACAACAGGGGGTGCTGAGGGTTTAGTTGGACAGAATGGAAGGCAGAAAAGCAACGCGGAAAACCAAACACGTCACTTCATTAGGTTTGTTAGAAATATACTTTGTTAAACTGCATCTGTGTTTCTATGTACCTTGACTAACAGAGTTCTGTATTGTATTTGTATTTAAGTGGACTACGACTGCACATCCTCCTCCTCCTCCTCCTCCTCCAGCTCCTCTCCTTGACGGCTTCAGGCAGCAGAGCCAGTGGCGGGGACCAGCAAGCCCACCCGTTGCACTGTGTACAGGCGCAAAATTAAAGCAGCAAAAGACAAAAAAGTCCTCCAAAGTACCAGGGGAAAGCCACAGCACAAACCTGGTGACCCCTGCAACATCCGTGGCCAAGCATGCACGGTGGATGGTGGCCACACTTACCTCAAGGGCCAATACTTTTGTGCTGTGGAAGAGGGCCCTGGAGGACGCACAGTGCAAGAGTAGATCAGGGAACAGCTTGGCCCTGGTGAGCTACAGAAGCTCCC